GTTGTAACTGTATAAAGCATTTGAGACCTTGACAATTTTCACGTCCTTCTAATTGCTGCTTACTTGCTTGTGTCGCAGATCAGCTGCTAGAATAGGGGGAAAGGAAAACTTTCAAGCAGAAAGGCAGACGGGATAATCATTCTAATATGATGATAGCACTTGATTAGCAAGAAAAGCTTTCCCTGGTCTCCTCTTAGCAATGATCTGTCTAGGGCTAGTTTCAAAATAGCATATTCTGTAATAAGACCCTCTTCATGGGCATGCTCCCACTTAGAATCTAATTCATACCCAGCAATCTACGATCTAGCCAGTGTCTTAGTTTATGTTGAATAGGCATACTTGACTTCCAACTAATTGTCAAATAAAGCTATCTTTGCTTAAATTTGTAGCTTGAAAGCATTCTTTGAAGCAAAAATTCTGATAAATGAAGCCTGCATAGAATACTTTACTTTTCCATGTGCAAGACCACAAAAAAAAGTATTCCCCCAGCTCTGCGAAGGCCTTTTGGAGATTGACCTTTCTTTCAACTGCAAACAATATCACTAATTAGGTGAGATTTAGACAAGGTTAACTAGGTTCTGTAAAAAGAGCTATCTCTGTGTAGAATTAGGTGAGAAAGCTGCTAAATCTTTTTCGTTAGTATCAAATTTTCCGTGGTACCTATCACCACTTCAGCGGAATGGTGCTTGATTTATTTCTTTCCCACATCTAGGCTCGGCAGATAGAACAGTTATATTTGAGGAAAGCCTGTAAGTTCTCTTCCTGGGGAGAGTTACTAAGTAAGGCCAGTCTATTAGGTGATCTGGAAGATAAAGTGCTAATCTAATCACAACTCTTCTCTTATCCGCAGGGTCTTGTTCAGCTGTCTTTCTCCTTGCCTTGGGTGGATTGGTTTTCATAGCCCTACCTGGGGAGTAGGCATTAACGGTCGAATAAGCAGTGATTCCTGCTCGGCACTTGCTATAGAAGAAGCAGCAGTTAGCTCTAACGGGGCTGAAGTCACTTCCGGGCTTAGTTCAAATAGGATTCGTTCAAAGAGAACCCTTCCACGACAACAACGATCACTCACTGAAGACTCTCTATATCTGGTTTTTCGCAAAGGGTCGTCTTTCCGGCTTAGCTACGATCTTGATGGATTAGCCCTCAGGGGTTCAACTAGTTAGGCCAGCCGGGAAGACTCTCGAATCAAAGATCAACGAGCCAATCTCTTCATCTACGCTAATCGATTGAGTTGATTGATTAGCCTGAACAGGAGATCATATCTTATCTTAGTGATCAAAGCCGTTATGCTTGATGAGGATTTCTCCCCTTATCTGACTGGTGGTTCTAACCTGATATCTATCATTGAGTCGGGATCAGAGTTCACCCGCTTGCCCTAAGGCTGAATGCCCTAGTAAGGCAAGCAACAGGAGTGCAGAGAAAAGGAGACCTGGTGAAACTCTCTTCCATGTCTCTTTCTCTTATAAAAAAAAGATATTGTAAGAGCACGGGATTTTGTCAAAGCTGTCTGTCTGACTTCAACAAACAAACTGACAACAGCATTGAATGGCGGAAGACAGCAATCCAGCAAGGAGAGAACCCGCCCTTACTTCAATGGAAGTCGGGGAGGGGGAGTGGAGAGAAAGAGATCACATTCTATCCTAGGGCTAGGGAGAGAGAGATTCCAGCCTTCTTCCGCAACAAACAATCGAGCAGAAGGTCTGGCTGTGCGCGAAGAAGGACTTCGGCCATTAGTTAAATTTCACGAGTTGTTGAGGTTAATTCAATCGAACATCAGCTTCGGAGCTTAGAGCAAGCCAAGCACAAGCTACTTCCTTTCCACTTCAAAACTTTCTATATCCAATCGGCCTTCGAAGAGGGCCGGCCTTCCTACTATCTAAGGAAAGAAGGATCAAGAACCACTTGTGTGGGGAAGGGGAAGAGATCTTGGCTATCGGGACTACTAGCAGGCAAAAAAAAGATGCCATTCGTCCCCAGCCAAAGAAAAGGGTTATAAGAAAGACAAGTATGGATTTCGGCACATGGCCGGGCAGCCTAAGTATAATTGCTAGCTAGACAGCATCACGCGAGCTTCATCATGCAAGCTTTGCTTCTTTCTTCCATACGCCTGATGCCAAGCCCCCCTCAGTGGGCAGAAAACTTCATCCCCCAGATATGCTCAACAATAGCCTGCTTCCTATCTTCCGAAACTTTACCAACAACCATACTTTTTTTGCAAGATTTATAGCGTGCCCCGATTCCGACGCCCTCTTGTATTGATAAAGGGGCTGGGAGGAGGTTAAGACAATTAAACATTTCAAGAGATATAAAAAAGTCCAAGAAAGCTTTTGTAATGCAAGCAAACCTCTTCCCCGACAAAGAATCAGACGATTCATCGAAAGAGTACCAGGATTAAGGGGACCAAGAAAGCTAGATTGTTGGTCTTCTAACACTTCCATTTTTCTTTTGAAAGACCCTGCCTTAGATCATATCGCCAAATCTAGATATTTCATATGTAAACCTTAGACCACTGGAAGGCTTACAACAAAAGATGGATCTTAGGAATAGAATCGAAGACTGGCTGGCCCACTTGTACGTAATAGAAGAGAAGTCAAGGCAAATTCCCCTGAAGGGAGTTCCCATGGGGGCTAGTACACATTCCCTGACGAACGACTGCAATACATGGAAGGTTTACGGATGTAGTACTGGACGGCTTTACCTACGACATTTCATACAAAGAGAATGGGCAGCCTGGAAAACTTGGAATGATTACAGAATGCTTACCGGCTTCGATTCGGTCTATTCTAAGCGGTCCATTGGGTAAGCAGCGGAGGTAATAGGTCTATACCCATTGACGTATCGGTTAGCGGTGGAAGTCGTATGGGCCAACTTTCCCTTTTCCTCCCATTATGGGTCAATGACACTCCCTCCCGATGCTTTGCCAGAAGCTCGTTTTCTAACGGAAGATTTTCATTTCAGACCCGGACTCATGAAAGAAGCCTTCTTTCTCTAGTAGGAAATCAAACACATCTGGAAGGCTCGCGTATTCCTATTCTTGTTATGGGAGACTGTCCATACCCTATATCGACTCCGTTCACAAGACCTTTAGGGAAAGGGAAGGATTACCATATGGAGCTTTCATTACTGGGCATGCAGCAGGAGATGAAAGAGTTGCCCTTCTTTCAAAAGGCATGATACCAGTCTTTGTCTATTCTTCCGATCTTTCTTAGGCCAAGGAAGGAAAGCACAGTAGAACTGGCGTAGCGGGACGACATGACAGCGGTTGGGAAAAAAGCTATCTGACATCAATCCAATGAACAGACAAAGCGGCTTGGCCGAAGCGAAGAGAGAACGACTATACTTGACTTTCTTTCAGAGTTAGAACCTTACACCCATATGAAAGAAAGCAGCCAAAGCAGTAGAGAAGATCTGAGACGGGTTTATCGAGAAAAGTCTTTAGCTCACACCTATCTTTGATGATAGAAGCCAAAAAGCAAGTTTAGGTAGAAAGAACAGCCAGTGTCAGAGAGATGACTTCTGTTGAACTCATGCTTGCCGGACAGGTCCATTCTCAAGAAAATTCCGTCCTCTCTCTTTCTTACTAGGCGACAAAGCGGAATCCCCTATGTAGAATAAATCGTTTGACCTTTATTACACTTGAGGAAGACCCGACCTCCGAATACCAAGCTTAAATGCTTGCCTGAGTGCGCCTATTACCCTTCTCACTCGTAGTTCCCCAATCGTCTTTGGACAACCTGCCTTTTGAGGAAGATATCGTAATATCAAGATCTAAGATCTTACCACTTTCCCTTTTTAGCTGGCTTGTTGTCTTGTACTTTGAAAGGGAAATGATTTAGCCCAAGGCTCAAAGCGATTGAGTGCTTGACTAAGTGAGTAGTCGGATTAAATAAAGGCTGATGTGCCTCAGTGATGGCTTTACAAAGGAAATGGAAATGCAGACTCCCCGGGGTGGGACTGGGGACATGCACTGACACTCACTAACTATCTATCTATTTTCCTTTTGTCCAAGGAAAGCGGGACAATAGACCTAACCGGGTATGAAATCCTCCCTTCTACGTTCCATGGATCCTTTGTTACCTAATTCCCTTAAACACGGAATTGCTCCTAGTCTTTACCCAATATATGTCCCTGCAATAAGAAAATTTTCTTATTGCTTAAGCACGAGATTCGACAGTTGTGATTCTCTTGGATTGAGCTTTCTCACTCTTTCTATGCCTCTTCCTTGGCCCACAACACACACGCGGCGCTAAGGTTCCCGTGGCAACTCAAGCTAGGATTTGAAGCCAGGATGAGCGGATTTACCGTGCCCGGTTCTTTCCTACTGATGCGCGGTAAGATACAGAATTTTCTGGTGTAATAGTATTCATTACAAACCTTCATTCTCGCGTTTTCCTCTATCACTAGATCTTCCCTCGTGGGGATGAGATATAGTAGCCCTTAAGCTGTTGAGCTAAAGTTTCAGTGAAATCCTTGTTGGTGCAGGTCTGGGATCAGTAGTTGCTTCCTGAGCGACGAGAGCCTTCTACCTCTGCCTTGGCCGATAGTAGAACTCCTGGGTGAAAGGTCAATTCCTAAAAATAGTAGTTTATCCGTCTACAATATGCTCGAACCTTTACTTTAAAAATCTTCCACACCGAAAAAGCCCGTTCATCTCTTCTTTCTCGGAAAGATGGAATTGGAATCCATTTGGTAGAGTCTGCCGTGGGAAAGCCTTAGCGACCCGAATAGAAAATAGCGATCGCCCAGTTAAACGTATAGTTTCACCTCTGGTAACATGGTTGGATTGCTAACTTCTTCTTTTCATTAGGGACGGGTCTTTTCTTCCTCTTCCCTCGGCGGAGGGGTAGGGCATACAGGGGGCTCGATCGAAGAGAGACAGTGGTGGCTCGCCAAGAAAGATTTTAGAAGTGCTACCTGGCTACAGTCGGTTGATGTTATAAAGTCCTCCATTATGGAATGGTTCTCAGCAGCACGTGAATCTCCTAACTCGCTTAAAGTGACAGCGTTTATTTCATTTATATATATTTAGCTTAGCTGAAACGGATCGAGTGTCCTACAAATCAATAGAACCTAGTTCGTTCGGATGATGTACTTGGTAGGACCGTAGCCCAAGCCACCTGGCGAGGAAAGGTTTCATATGGATTCACTTCTTGCCACTCTTCTCATAATCTAATGGTTGAACTCTTATTTCTTTTTTCATATGCATTTGATTCCCAGGAAGAAAGGAAAGAGACTCGCGAAGAACAGTCATAGCCAAGTGGATGGAAATAGCATAAATAGAGCCAAGCCTTCTCTAAAAGAAGCAAGTGCAAGTCCCAGGAAAGCAGCTAATGTCAGAGGACCTTTGCTTGATTCGACTTCAGCCTTGATGTGCCTCCTCCTTTTTCAATATGAAATTCGAGATTAAGTAAGTTGGTCAGTCACACAAAAATAAAATTACCCATATATATCCATCATCCTTTCTTTCAACTTTATTAGCGTTAGTAGGTAGGGCGGACTACTCAATTTCCCCCAGGATTGTTGATGTAGTTGCTTGTAGTTTTTTTTTTTAGTTGCTAGCTAGAAAGAATTATAATTATAGTTCAGGAGAGAGAATCAATGTTCAGTAGTACGCCTGGTTCTACCACTTCAGGGCTCAATCATGCTAGTTAGGCTATATGCTTAATACATGCAAGTCGAACGAAGTTTTCTTGGGTTTCTCTTTCTTAGTCTTTCTGATATCTTTGGTCTTTTTCCCATGCTTTCTGTTGGTCAACAACCAAGCACATCTCACTTTCGTTATTCACTACTCCGTGCAGGAAAGACCCCCATTTCATATTTCATAGCGCCTGGGGAACGCAAGTTTGATCGAGGATTGGAGAGGAGAGGTGGAATGGAAGAAAAGGCTCGGGATGGATTTAGGAGTCTTTGTGCGAGCCGTATGCGGTGAGAGTCGCACGTACGGTAACGAGGGGGGTTCGCGTCTATACGTGTAGTGTGGTGGTTGGGCCTACCCACCCTATTTGTTCCATGATCTATGGGTCTACTGGAGCTACCCACTTCGATCAATTAGCCAAGATTTTGACCGGATACGAAATCACTGGTGCTCGATCTAGTGGTATTTTTATGGGGATTCTATCTATCGCTGTAGGATCCCTATTCAAGATCACTGCAGTTCCTTTTCGGGCGGCTGTAGAACGGACGGCCGCCTATAGGTGGTAGGGTAGGGTGGGTGGTACCGCTCAGATTGCGGCCAATCTTCCTAACCGCGCGCGGGCCGGGCTTAGAGCGCGTGAAACTCATCATTATCTCGTAAGGGCGTTGAGACCATAGCATGTTAAACGAAAGCGCCGCTTTCTCTGTAGTGTTGTCACACAGCTGCCCGCCTAGAAGAGCCACTCGCTCTGTAGTGTTGTCACACAAGATAAGCACGCCGCCCGCCAGCTGGCCGGGCGAATCGAAGTTCTCTTCCGGTCAACTGTCCACCCAGTCAAGTGCAAAAAACACAGTAGAATCACGCAACGCACGCTGCTGGTGTGCTTCCTGCCCGCGAGGAAAGAAGAGCGACAAGGTTTAGTTCAGATTTGACTGTTTGCAGCATGGGAGCGGATTACCCAAAAAATCCCTGGGAACAATGAAAAAAAAAGATATCTCGGTAACGAAAACTATAGGGGGCTGTATTGGCGAGATCCAACGGTGAACAGCTGTCCAAAAGAAAAACCGCCAGGAAGTCCGAGGACCTTTAGTACCGTACCCTACCCCCGAACCAGCAGCCTTTGCGCCAAGCAAGACCGCCCTTGTCCTTTCTCCATTCCGCCTCCTTCTTTGCTTTGTTCCAATAGAGTCTAAGGCAAAGCAAAAGTGGGTTCGTATGCCTACTTTACCTACTTGACGAAAGGGAACGAACGTTTCCGGGTTTATGGATTGGATTCAGTCAGCGTCACTCCTTCCTTTTGATTATGTCGTGACGCTTTGGTTACCGGCAAACGCTTCCAAAGGCGACCCTCTCGAGTTTCCGGCTGTTTCCTAGATTGAAGTTGCCTTTCTTTCGTCGCCCTACCAAACGAAAGAAGTCACTATCAAAAAGCTCGCCCTACTGAAGTACCAAAGGTGCGCTCCGCCCGGTGACTAAGAAATTGGTTTGCGCTTTGAAGTGATGAGGTCGCAAAGAGGGAAGTAGGGCTCCTATTGACTAAAGGTTTGTTCTTCGGTTTCCTTTAGAATGAAAGTCGCTATGAAGCCCCTATTCTATTATATTATACTGACTTTGTTTGATTAAAAAGGCGAACCCCAACTAGTCGTATGGGGTGGGGTGCTTGTGGTAAGCTGCCTTGGATATGAGTATGAGGAATTCCTAAAAAACAGGCAAAGTCCGGTATTTGACGAAGATCTTTCTATCAATAGATAGGATTTAGTGTTCGATATAGGGGATAGGATCCATCTGCTCTTTCTCTCTCCATTTTTTAGAGAGAGAGCAGATAAGATATAACGCTAAAAAGGGGATAAAGAAAGGATACATAGACATCTAAGGGGATGTCTATTCTATTCCTCTTTAGAGAGAGTAGAGAAAAAAAGATAGATGAACGAGATCTCTTTTTTCTATCTATCATTGATTCAATCTATGAATCAAGTCGAAAGACTTCTTTGGGTTCCCCGAAGCCCCGAATGGATTGTGGATCGTTTCTGCCAACGAAATGAACGCGGAGCCCGTTCCGAATGCTTCTCCGATCCGGAAGTTATCGCGAAGAGAATAAGATGCCTCCCTCTGTCTTTTCTCGCTTTGCTAATCTTCCCTTCTAACGCGGGCCGGGCGCTTAAGTAGTTAGGGGGCGCGGGAGGAAGAAACCTAAGAGAAGAGCGTCTTCTCTCTCTTAGGTTTCTTTTTTTTCAGTGCAACACAGGAAAGCGCCCTCTTTTTGTCATCCCTGCAGCTTTCCAGATTTTGTATTGAACGTATGGCGTAGCTAGGATCTTCAAATCATGTTTGAGCCTATCCTATGTTCAAACCAACCCCCCTATTTGATTTTATGAATAAGGCTGGAAAGAATGCCCGCCAAGTTCAGATAAGGGAATGCTTCCCCCAACCATTAAAGGAAAGGCTCGACGAAGGGAGGGAGATGCGGCGGGGGAAGGAAAACGCTTTCGGAGATCGATATTTTTTTTTTTTTTTCATCGAAAACGAAGAAGGCCGAGGATGGCCTACGGTGCGTGTTATCTGAAGGGAACACGCTTTTTCGACCGCGGTGGTATGATTGCCGGGCCCTCTCCTCGTTCCGCCCGCAGGCCTATTGGGATAGCAGCCTGCGGGCTTTGCCTGCCCTTTTTATTCTCGGCCCGGGAAAGCGCTGGCAACAACAGAAAGGAAGGGGTCCATGTAGCTGCTGCGTCCGCCCCCTTCTTAGTCAATGGGGCAGCAGGTTCGGCATCTACTAAAAAAGAGAGAATCCACTTGAGATAACCACGCCTCTGCGTGGCAGCGTGTGGAATGGCCAAGAGCGGACCTTTTTGGATATATAATAAAAAGAGTGGAGTTACGGGAACAGCCGTCTGATGGAAAACTACTTTCACGTTCGGTTCAGAGAGCACTTTTTTTTTCGTCGAGAATTCTTCGTTCCCTTTCGTGTGAATTCCCCAGCGGCGAATTCAAAACTTTTTTGGCCCCCATCTCTCGAGCCCCGAAGAAAACCCCCCTCCCCTTCGGACTCCATATCTCTTTTGACTCTATATATGTGGGCACCTGATATCTATGAGGGTTCACCCACCCCGGTTACAGCATTCCTTTCTATTGCGCCTAAAATTTCGATTTTTGCTAATATTTCACGTGTTTCTATTTATGGTTCCTATGGAGCTACATTGCAACAAATCTTCTGTTTCTGCAGCATTGCTTCTATGATTTTAGGAGCACTGGCCGCCATGGCCCAAACGAAAGTCAAAAGACCTCTAGCTCATAGTTCAATTGGACATGTAGGTTATATTCGTACTGGTTTCTCATGTGGAACCATAGAAGGAATTCAATCACTACTAATTGGTATCTTAATTTATGCATTAATGACGATAGATGCATTCGCCATAGTTTTAGCATTACGGCAAACCCGTGTCAAATATATAGCAGATTTGGGCGCTCTAGCCAAAACGAATCCTATTTCGGCTATTACCTTCTCCATTACTATGTTCTCATACGTAGGAATACCCCCGTTAGCCGGCTTTTGTAGCAAATTCTATTTGTTCTTCGCCGCTTTGGGTTGTGGGGCTTACTTCCTAGCCCCAGTGGGAGTAGTGACTAGCGTTATAGGTTGTTGGGCGGCCGGAAGGTTGCCACGAGTAAGTCAGTTTGGGGGACCGAAGGCTGTTCTCCGTGCACCGGACACGTAGCTTACCGAATCCGTTGCGACACCGATGGGAATGCATGCTACGAAAGATAGGGTCGAGTCTGAAACATCAACCGTCTACTCAATATCCTTGTACGAGTCCACAATCACTACACGAGATGAACCTTGGTTTGGTGAATGGAAGCCTTAGGTGTAAAAAAAAGGACTCCCAGTTACTGCGCGCGATCGTATACTGAGGTGCTCCCCGCCGGTTGTTGGAACGACGCGAGCCGGGCCTCCATTCAGAAAGATGAAGGGTCCAAACGAAAGTCAAAAGAGGGGGTTACAAATTCCCCATCTCATTGGGGGCGGAAAACGAATCGACATCTCGATGTGATACAGCCTTTTCTATTGGAGTTGGGAAAGAACGGCGAAGTCCATCCGGGCCGTCCAATGAAGAATAAGAGGAGGGCAAAGCGCCAATGGCGCGCGAAGCGCATGCCCAACGGGCACGGAGAAAAATAAGTGAGGAGGATAAGCAGCCGAGCTCATTCCCTTCGCTTCCAGGGCCCAAAGCAGAGCAGTCTTTCCTGGCCAAATCAAGGATTTGGGGCGCTACGCTACTTAACTATAGAAATCCATTGTTTTTAGTCATATATATATTAATAGAAAGATAGATCCATCCATCTATCCTATCCGATTTCGATTTTTATATCTAAAAAAGAATAGATTTCATTCAACGTTTGATTCAAAGAACTGCGCTTAGCCCCCCCCCGCTCATGAAACGGCTCTGCTGCAATGGATGGCAGAGGGTCCGTAGTACCCAAAGCACTGGAGTGGTCCAGTAGCCGGGAAGGGGCCTAGAAGTGCCTACTACTACACCACACTACACTCGGCTCTACACATTTACAGAGCTAACCCCTGTCCAGTCCCTGGCAGAGTTAAGGGGGCTTCCATCCTTATTCCCTATCCCCTCGCCCAGGCTAACGGGGCCTTACTTATTCAGGGGGGGAGAGTGGAGCCCCGAGAAGCACTGTTGAGAGGAAGATCCTTGGCCCCTCCTCATTCTCTACAGGGTTCCAAACCTTTCTTCAACATAGGTGACAACGAGCGGGGCAGAGATCGAACACGAGAATAACAAGCTCGCCTTCCTTTTTGTTGGATCATTTTGATAGAGAGGGATGGAGAAAGTGGACAAAACAGACTCGCATTTCCCAGTCGGTTCCTTTTTCGTCTTGCATTTCTCATCGCGGAAAAAGAATCATATTGAAAACGTTCCTAACCCACCAACCCCCCTTCCTTCGTAGAGCCGTGTATTGTAATCCGAACCTGCCCGGAGCGAGTCTCCCATAGAGGCAAGTGAAGTTGGTGAGCCGTATGATGGGCAACTATCTCCTGCGGTTCGGAGAGGACTCAGCTGTTAGTTAGTACCCCCTTTCGGGGTGGACCTTTCACTCTATTTTATTATATACGCTTAGCGAAAAGAATGTTTTTTGATACACCTAGGACATGGATTTTATATGAACCAATGGATCGTGACAAGTCCTTACTACTAGCAATGACTTCGTCTTTCATTACTTCATCCTTTCCATATCCCTCTCCCTTGTTCTCAGTTACTCATCAAATGGCACTCAGTTCATATCTTTAAGTTCGATCATTGACAAGGTTCAAAGAAAGGGTGGGCAGAAGTTCGCCTTCCAAGAGAGGAGACAGGAGACTCATGGCACTTGTGGCTGTTGAGGGCCATCCAGTTGCTTGCTTATGAGAGCAGGAAGCTGAACGGAGCCGAGAGGCCCTACGCAGTACATGAGAAAGAACTGCGGGGAAGACCAGCCATAAAACTGGATAAGGAAAGATAGAAAACTAGCAATACTGGGGAATTTTTCTGATAGACAGGTAAAAATCTTAGTCGGGAGGGAAGGCTAGTAAGCTAGCGAACCAAGGGGCAAAGAAAGGGCTTATTAAACTACTTAGAGATAGATTCTCAGTTCCGTGCCTATAGTCATTCCTCTCTCTGGTAGCAATCCTGCTTTATCCTAGAATATATAATGCTTGAAGTTCCCAGTGAGGCAAGACAGTATATCAGTCTCCGGATAGTAGGAGTCTCTTTTACTTCGTTTCTCCGATAATCAGTTTAGGGCAAGCGAGCTAGTTGCAGCTTCAATAGCTATAATAATACTGGGGGTTTTAGTTGCAGTTGAAGTTCAAATTTCTTTTGTTTTGATGTCGTGCCAGGTGGTTTTCTTGGTTATACCTTACCCAAGGATGTTTCCAGGTTTATTTCCAATGTCAGTAAAAAAAGTCTTTCAAGCTAATTTTTACAGCCGAGTCTTTACTGCCAGCTTGTACTTTCCCTCAGTCCCCTGTACTCTATCTCCTGTCTAGTATTCCCCATCAGTCTACCTTGACGTTGGCAAAGGATAGACAGCTGAAATACCTCTTTCTTCCTCTCGAGCCGTCCAGTGAAAAAGCCTGTCTTAGCTTAGGAGACCCCTCAGACAAGGTCAATCCAGTTGAAGTTGATTCTTTTTGTTTGCCAGGCTAGTTGCCTTCTTTGGTAGGCCAGTTGAAGAAAAAAGTGCTTCGATAATAATTTTTCGTGCCAGGAGCAGCCGAACAAGTGCCATCAAGTTACAAGTTATTTAGGAGATTTTTTTTTTAGTAATCTCCTTATTATATAATAGAAGTGCTATATCCTTAGAATTATGCTGTCCCCATGGTATAACCCTCTGGCAGGACGTGGGCCTCTTTCCCGCTCCTTTTTTTAAATTGCTCTTTTCTAATAAGCAACTGCTAAGTGCTTTGCTGTCGGTGCAGCCGAGCCAATTGGAGTGGCTTTCGAAAATGTCAGTCTAGTCAAGTTTCCTTACCTGGTGGGGTCAAGCATGGGATTCTTCTCAACAGAGCTGATTCAATCGGGTACTTTTTCCTTAACTATTTCCCGCCTTCTTGAGCAATTTTGAGTGCTTCTCGCTGCTGAGAGGTCTAAGCCCTACCTATTTACGTGGGGCGGCTAACGATCATTCTTTCCCCTGTACTTTACTAAATAACTGGTGCTCGCGCACCCGCTTTTTCTTGACCTTGCTTGCTTTAGTCCTACTATCCCTGGCTCTTGAAATCTTAGACTATCTTAACTACAAATACTTAAGTTAAGGTAATAAGCATTCTATTCTTGACTCTAGATGATCTATTGAGTAAGTCACTCGTTAAGTAATAATAAGTAATATCACAAGAACCTGTAATTGGAATTTCTTCCCTGAAACTTCTTTTTTTGGTACAGCTCGAAGAGACAGAAGATTAGAGGAGGGCAGATGAGATGACACTCAAAGCACTTATACTCTAAACCCTGGGACTGGTACTTCAATTGGATGGGCTGGACCAAGAGAAGAGGGAACTTTCATTGCAACTTCCATAGATCGAGTTTCAGTTGCTTTTTCTGTTGATCCAGGTGAGAATTACTAAGCCAGCCTCTGCTTTTGTCTGTCTCCAAAGGATAGCTCCTTTGTTTGAGAGCCTTTACACGAGTTCGTTGAAAAGTAGTTTTCTATCCTCAAAAGACAGTTCCTCGTCTCTGTCGTCGTATGCTTAACACATGGTGTTTAGAGGGCCAACTATAGGGGGTGAGTCCAAAGAATGTGTGTTAAAAGCGCATTTAGCGATTTATTCGAACACGGGACACCTGCCTTGAAGAAGGGCCGGGGTTCTTTTTTAATAGAGTTTCAAGGGCTCCTGGTGCAAGAACAAGACCAATGAAATGGGGTGCCACTACGTGTGAAAATTTGTATATATGAATTTCCAGACATTGGCTTATGACAGCTAGCCTGACACCTATCTTTAAGAGCATGCCCCGGGAACAGAGCAAAAAGAAGCTCTTTGTGACCACACTACAGAATCTTTCGTTTCCTATGGTCTTTCGATCGCTTCAAAGCCGTACCCGGGCTTCCCTTTGTAAATCATTTGTTCTTCCTTATTGTAGAACTGTTGAAGTGGTAGATCTTCTTGTAACATTTCACTTTTGTTATTCTTAATTCTATCATTGATAGAGTGGATTTCAATTTCCCGTATGTTGCTGCTTTCTTTCAGTCCTCCCCTTCCATTCTTTGCCCTCTGGCCCTTACTTTCTTTTACTCCTTATGGCATCTGGTTTCAGTGTAAGCTGGATTCCCACGAAAAAAGGCAGCGGTAATAATATAATAACAGGGCGAATGGTGACTCCAAGAACCTGGGCCTGGTGAAATCTTGAACGCAGCCCTTCTTCATCTGCGCCTTCAAACAGGTTCCCTTCCGCCTGGTTCCTTCAAAGCAAAGAGTTAATTCGAAAACAGGATTCTTCGCAACAAGTTACCCTTTCCTCGCTTGAGAGCTAAGAAGATGCATCCCTCCCATTCATCACTGCTTTCGCACCAAGGCTTTACGCAAAATAGATAAAACAAACTCCTATCCCAGTTGATCGAGCCCACTGCCGGGCAGGCTAATCCGGAGGTTTACCATCCCTTTCTATCAGACGAAATAAGGCGACAAGAACTCAGTGATCGCCTAGCAATTAATTCTTTAAGATTCAGTATTGAGGTACATACCTCCATTGTAGAATCTCAAATAGAGATTGAACGAAAAATGGAGGAAGCTCTTCTCTCCGAAGGTTATTCCAGGGAGAATCTTAAAAAAAAAGGCATGAGATAAGAGGGTTTCTTTTTTACCCGCGGGGAACCTCCTTATCTCAGTCCGTGTACGAACACGATCTGAACCAAATTAGGACCCATGGAACGCACCGCAGCCCTCCTTATACAAGACTTATGCGTGCAATCTCAAATTTCGATCTTTTGTTAGGGTGAAGGAACGAAACAGTGGATTGAGGAATGAAAGCTCGAAGACAAAGAGAACCGGGCTTTTTCTTTATAGGGCTGAGATGGTTCTGGAACTCACGGAAAGAGGCTTTTAAGGGGTGCGCCCTTAACCCGATTCCGGGTGAGTTCTGGAAACGACTAATTTGGTACAAAAACAGGCTCTATGGTTTGTTTTTGATCTATCGCTATCTCCTTGACAAAAAAAAGAGAAATGAGGAGATGGTGGGCTCTTCCAAGGATATGTCATTTCTTCCGGTTTTTTAGCAGGGTTCATTGGAGCTGTCGGAGTTAGCGTCGGGACTACCCTGTCATGCCGAATGAAGTAGGTCGCATCATTCATAGGTGTACACGACCATAGGTATGTCCCAACACTCTCCTCATTGGATGCATTGGGCTCGGTGTAACAAACTGTATAGGTATCGTACAAAAGCCCTATACTCAAGGGTTTTCTGCAACTCGCATTCTTTCATACCAAACAAGGTTCTCTCCTTCGGTAGATGGGCACTTTCGGTTTCATTCCGTTAGTTACGCTACTAAAAGACTGGTTTTCCAAGTAGGAGGAGTAGCGTCCCAAGCCCAGTCCAGTTGGTTCACGGTTAGCTTTCTATAAGCCTGCCCCTTTTTCATTCTAGTTCCGAACTAGTTTCATTCCTTCACCCCCTTACTACTAGTTGAGTAGTTTCTACTCCGCCCACTTCCAGAAGCAGAAATGGCTACCGGGCTAACTCTTTCAGACGTCGGGGAACTACTTATTGACCAAAAGGTCAGCCAGCCCCGCCAGTTTAGGAAAGCCATTCTGGAAAGCCTACTTTCTTCCTTTCGAGGCATACTACTATCTCAGTTTCTCTCCTTTGACGGTCAGATCGATCCCTTATTGAATTGAAGGGAATTCTTCTCGGAGTTGGGGTTATCTCCATTCTCTTTATCGATGAATAAGGGAGTCCGGCAGGAGACAAATAAGATTAATGAAAAGGATGCATCGAGGTTCGAAGGAGTTGTATGCATAACAAGATATCTCTGTCTATGTCTCATCCATACTTGGTTAAAGTTGTTAACTCTCCATAAATAAAAAAATAAGCTATAGAGCCATAACATTTGCCTTCATTGCTAAAGAATTCGCTTTATGGTTGCAGCCAGAGGATGGGCCGAAGCGCCAAGCAAGTAGGAGAGGTCAGAGTAGTGGTCGCCGACTGAAAGAGATTCGAGGCTGGGGCAGGATAGTCTACGTGACGAAGAAGTAAGTAAGTCAGAATCAAGAGAAATGGGTTTAGCACGGGCTTCTTAGACCAAATAATCTATGTTGAAGAAGATTAAACCGCAAAGCACAGGCAATGGGTCCGCACCAGAGAAGAAGAAAATGAAATGTCTAGAATCACCAATTCTGTATCCGAAATAGACGACTCAAGGGGGCCCAGTACGCAGGGTCGAGATAATAAGAACCTTAGACATCGGGCTGGTAATATTTTTCCTCAACAGACCAAAGCGAATAGACCGTTCTCCTCCCTTGAGCTATAGCTACCCCTAACCCTTAGCCGGCTGTTCGAAAGCCAGACTAACAAGTGGAGGAGGGAGTTCCAAAGCAACTGTGACTCATGCAGTAGACAAAGTAATTTCGACTCAAAGATAAAGGAAATCCCATTGAGTAGTTCCCTATTTTTGATATCATAAAAATGAAAGAAAAAAGGCTTCTTTTGTCAGTTAGGTTAGGTGCGAAAGCCCAGTATGGGGGTTGTGTACAGTGGATGTTGTGGGTAGGGGGGTACCATCTTGGTTCAAGTGAATGCATCTGAGTTAGCAAGCAGGTCGGGTACAAGAGAAAAAGAATGTGATCTTCAGGTT